CAGGCTCAGGACTGAGGACTTGCCAGGGACCTGAGGAGAAGAGGGACACCCACTCCTCCCTTCTGCCACCGAAGACAACGGGGTCTTTCAGGCTGGGGAGTTTGGAGACATTAGTGACCACTCCTGGGCTGGGACTCACCTCCCTCTCCCTGTCCCCTGCCTTCATCCCCTCACCCCCGCCATACACACAACCATCCACACACCTCTCTCTCACACACGAACACACAACACAACCACACACACCTCCCTCTCTCTCTCTCTCACACACACACACAGAGACCCAACACAAACCTCACTCTTAACACAGTCCACAATGGTACATCTGGACAAACCCAACAGGGAACAGGCTGCACTGTGGCTCCGTGCTAGAGCACTGCAAAAACAACACAACACATATTTATTTGACCACACAACAGGACAAAACACACGGGGCTCACAATCCACACCGGAATGCACAAGGCACCACGGCAGTCCCTCTACCTGCCGCACGCTAACAGGTGCGTAGAAAATGCTTTTGCTGCAAAGTACCGATTTCTTACCTGAACCCACAGGTAACCAAAAGCAGGAGAACAGCTGGCATCCCTGCCTCCATTTTGTATCTTGTCTCCATCACTTTGGTGAGACCCCGGCTTCGATCTGCATGGAGGTGTGTTGCTTACTCAGGAGTGTCTGTCCAAGGCCCGTGATACCTCGCCTGTCTCTCCCCGCACCCCCCCTTAAAAGCTGAAGGAGGAGACATCTCACCAACAACTTTTTTTGTTTTGTGGTACTGGGGTTTGAACTCAGGGCCTACACTTTGAGCCACTCACCAGCCCTTTTTTGTGATGGATTTTTTCGAGATAGGGTCTCGAGAACTATTTGCCTGGGCTGGCTTCGAACCAAGATCTTCCTGATCTCTGCCTCCTGAGTAACTAGGATTACAGGCAAGAGCCACCAGCACCCAGTTATTTTGAGATTTTTGAGATAGGGTCTTGCAAACTATTTGCCCAGGCTGGCTTCAAACCACAGTTCTTCCGATTTCTACCTCCCAAATGGCTAGGATTACAGGGGTGAGGCACCAATGCCTGGTCTTGCCCCATTTCTTCCACTATTTAAAACTAAATCTCCTATCAGTACCCCAAAGATGGGGTGACATGCTAGCTTCCATCTTCCCCAAATGGCCATTTAGATGAACCCCCTTTCCTGTCTTTTCATTACCACTTCTGTTTGCTTTCTCTGGGGCGAGTGGTTGGAACCCCCAGACTCAGTCCTCTGGCCAAGGACTCTGGTTCTGACTTGGTGAGACACACAACTGTGCCCCGACACACAATACCATGACAAATACACCCACCCTGGGACACAAAAGCCTACCTGCAGGTCCAGCTCACTGAGACACACAGGCGCCAAGCAGCATTGATGAGTTGGTAAGCAATGCACAGTTGCCTGCAGACATGATGACTAACACACCCGCACACGCATGCACACAGCAACACAAAACCCCACCAGCCCTTTGGAGGCACAGGTGCACGTAACAGAAGCGCGCGCTGTCATCCAGCCAGGGACAAGACACATGAGACTCCACAGAGGCAGGCTAAATTAGGGACATTGCAGCATGAGAACCAAGAGCCAGAGCTAAGCTCAAGCACTGCTTAGTCACAACTAGGTGACTTGAAGTCCCCTTCTCCCCAGCAGGCTATGACAGCTAACCATGCTCTTAACCTTGGAACAGTGATTCTCCCGGAGTTCTGGATAAGCACGCCCAGGTGAATATCTCACGTAAAACTCATCCTTGGGCTGAGTGCCGGTGGCTCACGCCTGTAATCCCAGCTACTCAGGAGGCAGAGATCAGGAGGATTGAGATTTGAAGCCAGCCTGGGCAAATAGTTCATGAGACCCATCACAAAAAATCCATCACAAAAAAGGGCTGGTGGAGTGGCTCAAGGGGTAGACCCTGAGTTCAAGTCCCAGTACTGCCAAACAAAACCAAAATAAAAATACTCATCCTTGGATTAAAAGGAGAGCTTGTTAAAGGAAAAATCTCCTAATGATAGCTTTTTCTGCCCTAAATAAATGTCTTCTAAGGAAATCACCTGGCACATTCTCAAACAAGTCACCCAAGTCAATGAACGAGACTTAGTCTTTGGGAATCCCACACTATCAGTTCCAAAACAAAAGACACAACAAATGAATGAGGTGCCAGACGGTGCAAAGGAAGATGCGTGTGCAAAGGCAGAGACGAGGCCTTGCAGACCCCAAACCCGACTTGAGTTTTACAGATATGTATGTGTGACATACGGCGTGTCTCTGTGCCCACACCTCCCACCTCCTGGGACTGACTTTGTTTCCTGTTTTTTCTTTTCTTTTCTTTTTGTGGTACTGGAGTTTGAACTCATGGCCCTCATCTTGAGTCACTCCACCAGCTCTTTTTTGTGATGGGTTTTTTCAAGATAGGGTCTCTGGAACTGTTTGCCCAGGCTGGCTTCAAACCAAGATCCTCCTGATCTCTGCCTCCTGAGTAGCTAGGATTACAGACGTTTCCTGCTTTTCTGAATAAAACGTCCATCTTCTCATCTAACCAGACTTGTCCTTAAATTCTTTTCTGAGGAGCTGGGCACCAGTGGCTCACACGTGTAATCCTAGCTACTCAGAACAGATATTCAGGAGGATTGAGAGGAAAAAGTTCCAGACCCTATCTAGAAAAAACCCTTCACAAAAAAGGGCTGGTGGAGTGGCTCAAGGTGTAGGCTCTGAGTTCAAACCCCAGCACCTCAAAATAAATAAATAAATAAATAAATAAATAAATTCTTTTCTGTGATGATGTCACAAGTTTGGTGTCACGATTACAGCACCCCGTGTCACAAGCTCAGCACCCCAGGCTGAGGAGGTTCATGCTTTCTGGGACCCTCCCTGAGTTTGAAGAAGTCCTGGTTTCAGTGACAATAGCACACACATTGTTACCCTGGAGGCGACTGTGACACACAATAGCACAATTATACACGGACATAGACACACCATTGCTAACACACAGTAACCCAACCACACTCCCAGCGCTCACTGAGGTGCATTTGGACTTGAAAATCCTAACACAGAACTCAGAGGCCCACACACACCATGGGGACACACTCAACAGAGACACTGTCACCCACTTATATGAGACACACAGTCTCCTATGCCTAGGCCCAAGGCATGCAGGACACAGACGTGGTCCTTGCCTTCTGGGACTCACATTCTAGTCAAGGAAACAGACAAGATGGACCCAGCACCCAGGAGGTTGCGTCAGGATCAAGAGTTCAAGGCCAGCTACAAAGTGAGACCCTTTCTCAAAAAAAAAAAAAAAAAGAAAAAGCCTATTTTGTGAGCTCATCCTGAGTGCCAGGAAGAATAGTAAAGGCAAGAAGAGGAAGGTACAATTGAAGAGAGGAAGAGGAAGGGGAATTTGTAAATAGATCAGGAAAGGCAGCACCTAGTACTGGCTTCAGACCCTAAAAGACTGAATGGATGGTGATTGGCCCATTTTACAGATGGGTAAACAGGGGCACGAGTCAGTGGTGGTAAAGAGCATGGGTTTGAACTCAGCAGTATGGCTCTGAAGCCTGCCACCTTCCTATGGGCAAGATGGAGAGATGTAGGGCTGTGTGTGTGCGGGGAGAGACTTAAGGACACAGGAGGTTCTAAGGGGTGAAAGAGGCCAGGAATTCAGGGAGGCCAGGAGGCTCAGCCTCTCCTTCATCCCAGCCCCAGTGGGGATGCTGCTGTGGGCATTGTGCCCACCCTAGTGCTCCTGGAGAGTGATAAGACCTCTTCACAGAATGCAGGGTGCAGGTGAGGCTGGGTGGGAGTGGTTCTGTCTATAGAATACTTTATTATGATTCTAATTTGCATTTTCCTAAACATTAATGATGTGGGGCCTCTTTTCACGATATAGCTTCTCTGATGAAAAGTCAATTTATTCGAATCGTTGCCCTCTTCTCCTTTATCTTTGTTTTTGAGACAAAGTCAGCTTGGGCTCTAACTTTAGTATGTAGCTCAGGCTGGCCTGGAACTCATGACCCTCCTGGCCTCAGACTCCCAGGTGCTGGGATTACAGATGTGCAGCACCATGCCCAGCCTCCGTAGAGTTAATCTTTATTGGCTATCCCCAGCTCTTGTTCCAGACGCTGTTCTAGTTCTTTCCGGGTATAGGAACGCACGTAACACTCACATTATCCCTAGAGGGAAGTACTATTTTCATATTGCTTGACACCCTGTACCCCGACTTACAAATCACTCCCAAGTGGAAAAGGGCTTTGTCTATTTCTTCATGGCTGTATCCCGGGAACCCAGGGCTGCACGCGGGCACGCAGTGCATTCGTTAGAGTGACCGTCGCCTGCCCATCTTCCAGAGGGGGAAACTGAGGCCCAGAGAGACAGGTATCGCGTCCTACCCCCTCAATTCTGTTTGTCTGCTTCCAGCATTTTCCAGGAACCCTTCCGCTGGGAGCCCACAGGAGGCTGCCAAAAGAGGAAGAAGGGACGGTCATCGGATGCGCTGTGGTCCAACTGCCGGGCTTTTATAAGGCAGCTGGACCTCCCCGGAATCCGCAGCTTCACGGTGTCGATCCTAGGATTCACCATGAATCCTTAAGGACTCTCCCGCTCGCCTCCCCTAGGGAGGAGGAGGCCCGAGTCCCTTGTGCCTCGATTTCCTCCGCGCCGCCCCTCCCAGCCCACGCGGCAGCGTAGCTAAGAGTCCCAGCCTAAGCCCTACGCCGCCCGGAGCAGCGGAGCGCTCCACCGCCCCGCGGGGCTGTACCATTCATTCCGGGGGGGGGACAGGGAAGGGACGCTCAGAGGGCTTGTCCAGTAACTCACTCTATCCAAGAAGTCCCTTAGCCCAACATAGGGATAATAATGAGACTTGCGTGGAGGGGTCGGGTTGCAGCCTCGGCCTCTCCCCTCCTCGCCTCAGAGTTTTGGTCCCAATCCATGATACCCCCTTAGCGTTGGTTCGCGCCGCGGGCCCAGCTTTGTGCGCACGGCCCGGCGCTCACACCTCGCGCGTCGGCGGATCTCGGTGGGTTGTGGCGTCCGCTGTCCCGCGGATGCTGCGATCCCCAGCCATGGCGCTCGCAATTCGAGTTGTGTATTGGTAAGCACAGTGGCCAGAGGTCCTTCTCCGGGGCCATCCTCCGTGCCGGAGGCGGGGGCAGCCCGGGTTTTGTGAGGGGTGAGGGGGAAGGGGCCAGGATTTCCTTGTAGGTGGCTGCGTGAGGCGGCGTCAGGACGTGGGGCGCAGGGTCCGCGACGCGGGTTTGTGACAAGCGCGACATTCTCGGGAGACGCGTGTGCGTCCGCTTTAAACACCCGACTCCGGGCTGGGGGAGGGGTGGGAACCGGTTTTTCGAGGTCTTCGCTTCCCAACACCCTGTTTTCCCTCCCCCAACCCCGAAGAGTCCCGGGTGAGGTCGCCTGGAGGGGACGCGGTCCCGGAATGAGCCTGTCCGTGTTTGGGAAAGACTTGGGTGTGCAGAGGCTGCGGTTTCCAGCTGCAGTGCTGACCTCGCTTGCGCCCGGCCCTGGGTTCCATCCCCAGCAACGCAAAAACAAAAATAAGACACCCCTCCCAAACCACCAAAAAACCAAAGAATTGCAGGGGGGCTAGTGGTGCAACGCAGAATAGAGCGATAGCCCATCTGTGAGGCCCAGCCCTGGGTGGGGCCGAGGGAATGAACAAAAGATTGAACGCATGCATTCCTCGCCATTGCCCAGTGGTGCTACCCACTCTTGGTCTCAGTTTCCCCATCTGTAGTACCGAATGGTTTGATCTTGAGTTCCCACCATGGAGTATTGTGTTAGCAGTAAGCATGTTTGCTCCAATTTCCTTGCTAGTGTTAGGAAGACAGGCGATTTTCTCTTTCTCTCTCTCTCTCTCTTTTTTTTTTTTTTTTTTTTTTTTTGCGGTGCTGGGGTTTGAAATGGGGGTACACCTTGAGCCACTCCATAGGGTCTTGAGAACTATTTGCCCAGGCTGGGCAAATCCTCTGATCCTCCTGATCTCTGCCTCCTGAGTAGCAGGAGTTTTAGGCGTGAGCCACCAGCACCTGGCTTTCACTCCCTTTTTAATGGTTTTGTTTCCTTGCCATGCAGTAGCCCCTTAATAAATACCTATTCAGTGAATTTCTTGTTCCCGAAATCCCGTGAGGGAGGGGAATTCTAGCTCCATCTTACAAGTAAGGAAACTGAGGTTGGAAGCAGGCCACACTGCATAATTTGAACCAGGGCTTGCTGGCTGAACTGTCTTTGACACTGCCCTAGGCTCTGATCAGTTCCAGCTTTCAAAATGTCGCTGCTTGCGTGACATGTTGAGGCCCCCATGAGGCCTGTGCACCAGATTCCAGCTCCAAAATGACTTGTGTGGGGGTTGGGAGGCTTGTATCTCATACCAGTCTGAAAGTGACAGGGTTTTTTTAAGACACTCCTGGCTGCTGGTGGAGCTGGGTGGGGGGAGGGGCTGCACATTTATGCAGCCCTCATTCTAATTCTGTTCCTTTGGTTTCCTTCCCCTTGCCTTCTCTGTCTTGTCTTTGTGGTCACCTCACCGTTGTTCTGCCTCCCCCTTCTTGCTCTCGTGGGCCCCTCTTTTGAGGGTCTCTCACTGCCTCTGCTTTGTTGTCTGACCCTCTTTTTCTCTCTTCTCCCTCCCTCCTCCTCACCGGTATTGCCTGCCTTTTCCTTGGACCCATGCTGTCCTGGACCATCAACTGCCCTTGTCTACTCCCACCAGTGGCGCTTGAGGCTACAAGCCCAAGGTAAGCCTGTGGCATTGGAGGTGGGGAGCATGGGGGGAGGGTGCTAACCATGCCCAGTTATGACTCCCGGTCTTGCTTTCAGTATCTTCAGCTCAAGAAGAAGCTAGAAGATGAGTTCCCCGGGTGCCTGGACATTGTGAGTCTCAGAAGACAGTTAAATGGGCCCTTTGTCTGTCCCGTGGGTCTGGGGAGCAGTGGGAGAGGGTTAAGTCAGCTCTGCCCCCTTCACCTATTCTTCATTCTCTGGGAAGGGGTGGGTGTTCCCAAGAGAACATCTCAGCCCCTCCCCAAATCCTCCCCCTCTCCTTAGTGTGGTGAGGGGACTCCCCAGGTCACTGGGTTCTTTGAAGTGATGGTAGCCGGGAAGCTGATTCACTCCAAGAAGGTAAGTTTGTGTCCACTTTGTCGGGGGGTCTGTGTGGAGTTGGGGCTGAGGTTGGTGTTGGGATTCCTGTCTTACTCATCCTCCCTCCCCAGAAAGGCGATGGCTATGTGGACACTGAGAGCAAGTTTCTGAAGTTGGTGGCTGCCATCAAGGCCGCCCTGGCCCAGGGCTAGTGAGTCCTGAAGGCAGAGGTGAGGAGCCACCAAGGAGGGGTGCCATCCCTTGGATCTCCCAGCACCCCATGCATGGAGCCCCTGGCCTAGGGTGAAGTCTGGGAGATGGGAGGTATAGGGTGACACCTGAGGTGGTGCTGGGGACAGGGAGCCAGTACTCCTGGTTCGGGAATGAAAGGTGCTGAAGAGACAGGCAGTTTGGCGTCTGGCTCTTTGTCCCTTTGCCAGGAAACAATTCCCAGCCCAGTGGGCCGTAACAACTTGAATGTCAGCTCAAGTCCCAATGTGTTCAAGACAGAATTCCTGTGCTCAGTTCTCCCAAATAGATCACTAATTATCACAGGTCACTAATTATCTGAGGTAATTTCTCCTAGAAAGTTCTAGGAATTTACTTAAACTGACTCACAAACACTGCAGAAATACTTTAGAACGGCCTCTCGGCCTAACACTAGCAAGGATCACCTATCTCTGCACTGACCTACAATGGGCCCTCAGCGCCCATCGCCCTAATCTGGTACCCCTGCCCAGAACTGCACACAGCTCCTAAACACTAGAATTGATAAGTAGTCCTTGGACTGACTTCTAGTTACGTTCCCCAGTTACTTGTGTACTCTGAACCAAGGACTAGTTTCCAGCCCATTCTAGGACTTTCTTTTTTTGTTTTTTGGTGGGACTGGGGCTTGAACTCAGGGCTTTCACACTTGCAAAGCAGACACTCTACCACTTGAGCCACACCTCCATTCTGCTGTCTTGCCTCATGTGCAGGTCTAAAATGAAGCAAATTGCCTCCCCCACCCCCAATCACATCACTTCAAAGCTATGTCAGCCAACTGAATCCTGGATAGTCACTGTCAGGAAGGTAGGGGTGGATGCAGAGTGAAGTGGAGCCCATCCTGGTGCTATTGTATGCCCTCAAAAACTCACCCCATGGGGCTGGAGGAGTGGCTCAAGTGGTAGAGCACTTGCCTAGCAAGTGTGAAGCCCTGAGTTCAAACCCCATTGCTGCCAAAAAAAATAAAAAAATAACTCACCCCTGTCTAAGCCAGCCCAGTTACTTAGTTATCAGGGAGCTCCGTTAATGGATGATGTTATCCAACATAAGCAGAAATGGGATTTATATAAGAACTGAGGTGGCCATGGTGGTGCACACCTTAAGTCTAGCTGCTCGGGAGGCAGAGGTAGAATCTTCAGTTCAAGACCAGCCCAGGCAAAAGTATCTTATTTCTTTTATGTGTACTGGGGTTTGAACTCAGGGTCTACACCTTGAGCCACTCCACCAGCCCTATTTGTGAAGGTTTTTTTGAGATAAGGTCTGTTGAACTATTTGCCAGGGCTGGCTTTGAACCTCAATCCTCCTGATCTCTGCCTCCTGAGTAGCTAGGATTATAGGTGTGAGCCACTGGCGCCCGGCTTGGGCAAAGGTATCTTGAAAACAAAATAGAAGGACTGGTGTGTGACTCAAGGCGTAGAGCACTTGCCTAGCAACTTTGAGGGTCCTGGGTTCCATCAGCCCTCAAAAAAAAAAATTGTGTAGACAAGATAAAAGAGTGATTCTTGTTTGCTTCAGGGTTTTGTTTCGGGTTTTTGGTGCTGGGGATAGACCCCAGGGGCTAGCACATTTGAAGCCTGCACACTACCACTGAGCTCCACCCTGTTTGCTTATTTGGTGGCTGTGTTTCAAGGGTGTCCCTGTGTCTGGTGCCCAGCAGTTTGCTGGAGGGTCTAAACTCAGTAGAGCTGTCACACTTGTGGTCACAGTTTATTGTTGAAAAGGCATAGCATAACGGAGGGTCAACCAGGGAAGAGAAGTGTGGGGCAAAGGTCAGGAGACACAAGCAGGAGCCTCTGGTCACTTTCAGGGAGTGCTGCACACTGATAATTTTCCTGGCAATCCTGTGCCCATGGGTACTAACTGTTGTAAACTGGAGCAGCCTGTGGGAGCCGTGGTGGGCAGGGATTTTTTTGGAGACTGGTCATGTAGATAGGCCCATGCCCGCCCTCACAAGTCAGTATTAGACTTTGTGCATGGCCCAAGGCCCCAGGCCAGCCAAGATGTCCCAAGCTTGGGGGTCCTTCCCAGGAGCTGGCAAGGGCCAGACCCTTTTCTACTGCACTGCCAGTGAGGCACCCAGCCTGTGACTTGCCAAGAGGTCTAGGTGGCAGTGGTGGAAATGGTTTTGCTGTGGTACTGCTTTTTTTTTTTTTTTTTTGGTGGCAATGGGGTTTGAACTCAGGGCCTCACACGTACTAGCCAGGCGCACTTGAGCCATTCTGCCAGTCCTGTTTTGTGATGGTTATTTTTGAGATAGAGTCTTGGGAACTACTTCCCAGGGCTGTTTTTGAACCTGCAGTCCTTCTGATCTCTGCTTCATGAGTTGCTAGGATTATAGGCGTGAGTCACTGGTGTTCAGCAACACTGCTTTCTGTAAGACTGGCTGATGGCCGCCCATCAACACAGACATCCATAGTCTTTTTGTAAACTTGACTGAGAACTAGGTTTTAGCCCAAGAGTGATAGAACTCTCACCTGGCACAATCCATTTTTCTTCCATCTGCCCTTCCTTGCTCTTCTGATTGACATGTCTCTCCAGGTCCAGGGACCTTGGCCCCGCCCCCTCGGCAGACGCTTCATGACAGGAAGGACTGAAATGTCTCCAGGACTCCTGGTCTTTCCTTGATGTTCTGCGGCCACCGGGTGGGGCAGAGATCGACGTCCCTGGGCTTTGCCTGTGCATGGGAGTGTGCGTATCCCCGGAATCCACCGTTGCTCGCTGCCCCCACCTTTCCCCGCCTCTCCCTGCATTCCCTGTGTCACCCTCCCTGTTGGGCTTCCTTCTGTGAGGGGTCAGGCCATTTGCTGCACCAGAGGCAATGGTTCACATTTGAATAAATGTTGGATGCGTTTAACCTGTGTTAGTTGCAGTGTGTCCTGTCCTACTGAGGCCCCTTCAGTCCCCAGTCCCTTCGCTAATGGGGCCACACTTTACAGTAACTCCAAGGTTATGCCAGAAAGGGAATGGGTGCCACGTGGTATTAATTGTTTGGAGGGAGTGTTGTTGGTTTTCTGAAGCAGGATCCTCTGTCTCTTTCTTCCCAGTGCTGGGATTACTGGTGTGCACCACCATACCCAGCTGTCCACTTGTAATGACATCAGTCAGACTGGATTAGGGCCCACTCTCATGACCTCGTTTAACCCACTTATTTACTTTTTTTTTCTTTTTCTATTTTTAATTTTTGCAGTACTGAGGCTTGAAGTCGGCCTCACGCTTGCTATGCAGTTACTCTACCACTAGAGCCACTCCACCAGCCCCACCCATTTCTGAGGAGACAAGACTAGACCTCTGTTACGAGACAAATCACAGACCCTTCATGGGCAAACAGGTCAACCAAGCCCTGTTTTGCTGAAAATGTTCTTGAATTTCTCTGGTTTTCTTTTTTCTTTTTTTTGGAACTGGGATTGAACTCAGCCTTTTACTTGCTAGGCAGGTGCTCTACCATTTGAGCCACACCCTCAGCTCTTTTTGCTTCGTTTTTTTTTTTTTAACTAGGGTCACACATTTTTCCCTCTTGACTTTTTGCCTGTCTGGCCCCAAACCATGATCCTCTCTATCTCTACTTCTGGAGTGACAGGGATTACAGGTGTGAGCCACAACACCCAGCTTTTCTGTTTTTCCAGTACTAGGGATGGAACCTTGTGCCTCAACCATACTAGGTGAGCATTCTGTCACTCAGCCACATCCCCAGCACTGTTTATGTCATATGTAACAGATCTGGAAGGTTGTTTCCAGGTTGTTCCAGATGGCTGTATGTTATGTTTATATTAGCATTAAAAGTATGAATATATACAGAGTTACAACAGCTGTGAGTCAGGGTTGGGCTGTGGGTGGTTAGCAGGCCAAGGTTGAGGTGTCTCAGGACATTTGTAGAGCTTCCTGGACTACCCTCCAGCGTGAAGTGGGCCCCTGATTCCTGTGCATGAGAAAAACACTAGAGAAAAACAAGGAAGGTTCTAGATGGTGCAAAAGTAGACTGAATATCAGCTAGGCCTGTTATTTCCCCTCTTATCTTTCCCCTTTACACCCCCTTCAACTAGTAGCTATTTGGACTTCCTCACTTCTTCACTTTGGGTTTGACCATGTGACTAGCATTGGCCAATCAAACGAGGAAGAAGTATGGGTGTGTCAGTTGTTAGCTCGTAGAGATCTCAAGTTTCTACTTGTCCTCTGTTTCTGCACCAGAAGGCTACATTCCTGATCACCTGCTGGTCCCAGTGAAGTATGAGAGACACAGGGCTCAGAGCTGCCCCAGCCTGACAGAGCTAACAACCCAACCCACAGCAGAGGTACTTCCCCTGTGAACTATGAACAAGCCCAGGCGTAGCCCAGCCAAGTGAGAGACTGAAGGACAGACCACAGGAGGTCAAGGAGATACTTTTCCTCCCTAGGAAACGCCTGTTTGTACCTGAAAGGCATCTCTGCCTTCAGGCAATGCAAAATAGGCTATAAAACCCACTCCCCACCCTGACCCACAGGATCACTGGTTTCCGGGTCCCCCTGCATTCCCCAATATGCAGTCTTTCTCTTCTCTTTTCTCCAACTAAATTCACTACAAATAAAATCTTTCCAACCTCTGCTGTTAGAGTCTGTCTGTGCTTTCATTCTTAGAGCAGGCTCAAGAACCCTGAGCACCTGAAATTCCTGCTTCTGTCATCCATGCATCATATTTGGCGATGCACAAAGGGACCAGCCGTCACCTGAGGTCAGTATAGGTTGTGCCAAACTGGGAAAGACCGCCTAGGAATGTGACTGTGAGCATCCGGCACTCTGGTGGAGTCTATTTTCCAGGAGAGACTCCCCACCATGGCCAGCTATGGTGGAACTCTCAGGTCGACCTTTTCTCTCTCTCTCTCTCTCTCTGTCTTAAGGAGGGTTTCTTCCTTGGGAAACTGAGGAAAAGCTCTGGGCCTACTACAGCTGTAGAGCAGGCAATCTGAGGAAACTCAGAGGCCAGGCAGGGATTTATACTGCACTGCCAATGCTATGTGTGTGGAACCCAACTTCAGTGCACCAAGGCTTTTTCTTTTTTCCTTCCTCAAACACTCTCTTTCAAGATCTGACCAGCTTAAGGAGAGGTCCAAAAACAGCCGGTGGAAAGGAAAGTTTGTCTTCAAGCCACAAAAGGTTCTGGCCTGGCACTCCCCAGTGTCACCCAAAGGCTGAAGATGCAACTTTCTGACCCTCCCAGAGGCCCCAAAGGCGGCTAAGTTTCGGCCCTCTCCAGCCATGTCTGCGGCAAACAGACAATCAGATCTCTTACGCTTCCTTCATGGTTTCCGTGGCCAGAGAGTGGAGGTCACCTCTTGCTTCCAGTGCTCCAGTACTGCCTTTGGGCAGGATCGACCTGGACAGCAGGAATGGTCAATAATCCCTCATGCCTTGAGCCTGGAAACTCTCTTTTTTGCCAACCCTCAGCCTCTCCTTCCCCTTTCCCAAGCAGTTCAGGATGAGTGTCCGCCTCCCTGCTTTTGCTCTAATAGCAGTGAGTTTCTTTCTTTAGGGAGTTTGGGAAAAATCCTTACAGGCACCAGAAAGTGCTAGTCTCCAATTTAGGCTGAACTGTTTTTGTCAAGCATCAGGTTAACTGGTTAAACAGGTTCTGCAGCCTGCCCTCAGGGAAAGAAAAAAAAGTTAAAAGGCAAAAACCTCAGGTCTCCATTTTTTGCCCCTTACTGGAGCAAAAGCCTCCAGATGCTCTCGCTGTCTTTTTGTAAAAAGCATATATGCCTCACAGAATATATAGGGGGACAAAAGTCTACTTCATCAACAGTCCCCATCCATGCCTCTACAGGGGTCCTCCTTCTGGCCATGCAAGCCCTCTTGGTTACTTTGATAGAGTTATTTTTTTAATTACAAGCGTTCAGCTGGTAGAAGAGAACTAGGCCTACCTGGGTTGCAGGGCAAACAAGCAAGTCAAAGTAGATGAGAGATTGGTCAAAGATCATCTCAGGAGGGTGGGTGCAACTGAGATAGCTATCTGTAAATCCTCCATGGCTTTACCCACAAGCGGCAGTGGAAGGAGCAAGGAAGAGCAGGACGCCCTCTCCCACTAGAGTTTCTCCTCATCTAGGAACACTTAGATAAAAGGAGAAACCTCTGTTAAGGTGACCAATTTTCCCCTGCTTCCCTTTTTAGATGGGAAATCAAGCCTCAAGGATCCAGGAAGGATCCCCCCTTGCCTGCTTATTAAAACATTGCAAAGATCTTGATCCAGAAAGTCTTCAGCAAAAGTTTTACCGCACCCAGTCCTGGCCACAGTATCCTCTGGGAGATGAGGAAAGATGGCCAGAAGGAGGGAGCATTAATTATAATACCATTCTTCAATTAGGTATGTTCTGTAAAAAGGACAGAAAGTGGACCAAAGTTCCATATGTTCAACTGTTCTTTTTCCTAAGAGACCACCCAGAATGGCTAAACAAATGCAGGCTAGATACCCAGACCATGGTAACCCTTTGTAAAAAGCCCCCAAACTCCCTTGAACCAAAAAACCCACCTAATGCTCCCTCAGCTCCCCCTCTCCCCCCTTACCCAGCTACCTCACACACTGGATGCTGTCCCACAGGACTGTACCCCCTCCAGTTAATTCCTGGAGGGGACAGAGCTCATGTTCCTTTTGGAGTGAGTGAACTTAAAGAAATAAAAAAGGGTTTAGGAAATTACACAGAAAACCCAGATCAGTACATCCAGGCATTTAGAGAAGTCAGCCAAAACTTTGAACTGAGCTGGAAAGATGTAATGCTATTGCTGTCTCAGACCCTCACTTCTCTAGAGAAACAGCGGGTTCTAGATCAGGCAGCTGCAGCTGGAGACAATTATCACTTAGATAAAAGCGGCTCTACTACAGCCCTGTCTCAGACTGGGCCCTCACAGGAGGAGGAGGAGGAGGGAGAAGAAAGACAAAGACATTAGATACCTAAAAGGGAACCTCAATTCCCAATTCCAACAGGAGATCAGGCAGTGCCTAGGTATGACCCTAAGTGGGACCCTGAAAATGACAAGGATGGTCCATGTAGCCACATCTGTATACTATAACAGGGACTTAGAAAAAGAAAAGAAGGACCTGGAAAAGGAAAAGAGAAGGATAAGTGGCAAGGAGGCTCTGATCACAGCACTCAGAGAGGCTCCCCTGAGGCAAAGTCCAAACCCGAGGACATGCTTTCAATGTGGACAGGCAGGCCATCTTAGGAGCAAGTGCCCCTGGAGAAAGCTACCTCCAAGACCCTGCCCCATTTGTCGGGGAAAACATTGAAAGGCACACTGTCCCCGGTTCCCCTGGGAACCGAGGCCAGAGGCTTCCACCCAATGACGGGTCCCGGGGCCTCCCATACAGGCTCCTGTGACCACCATAAAAGCAGAGGAGCCCCGGGTTAAGCACAGGTCAACCTCCTTATCAATACTGGAGCCAGCATCTCAGCTATTCCTTTCTCTCCCCAACCCAGGTCCTCCAAGAAAATTACTGTTCCTGTCATTCTTTTTTAATTGTCCCAGAGACCCCTGCTTCTCTGCTAGGGCAAGACCTTCTATCTAAATTGGGGTACAGCTACTTTTACCCCCAGAAGAGTACTTTTGCTTGCCCTTAATAGAGGAACAAGTAGACCCCACAGTGTGGACGGATGGACACACTGTGGGACAGGCACAAACAGCTGCCCCAGTCCTAATTCATCTCAAGGACCCCTCTTGGTTTCCCCATCAAAAACAATATCCTTTAAAGCCAGAAGTTAAGGAGGGGCTAATTCCCATAATCAAAGACTTAAAGAGACAGGGACAGCTAATAGTATGCTCCAGCCCATATAATACTCCTATTCTCGGTGTCAGGAAGGGACCTAACAAATGGAGGCTAGTCCAGGATCTCCGC